CTCGATTCGCGATGCATCGATTTATTTTCCCAGCCCTAATATTGACAATATTATTGTCAATCTTAAATGTACGCAATATTAACTTCATGTTTATTGAACTGTTGTACAAATCAATCACATTTGCATTTGTGCAGATATTGGGGAAAACAGCACTCTTGCTGGTGTTATATTACTATATCATATATAAATATAAGAGGGGCGTTTTCGCCCTCGTATCTTAAACTTTAGGGTCCTATCACTGTGTTAAATGGACAGCCGTACTGTCATTACACTGACTGATGTTGTGCAGGGTTATCAGGGGATCCCATACACCACCACCCTCACGCTGGTCAAGCAGCTCTCGCGCTTCAAGATCCAGTTCATCGCTCCGGGAAAGACGCACACCGCCGCTATAGACGGTGCGTTTAATCTCGCCTCACGCCGCTGCTTTTACTGCTGATGTTCTGACGATTGAGGCTCATGGTGTGTGAATGATTGTGCAGAGCGCGGCCGTCTGATGACCTTCGGCTGTAATAAATTCGGGCAGCTGGGAGTGAAGGACTTCAAGAAGCACCAGGGTGTTCAGATCCTCGTGGGGCCCTTCGGAGGAAAGTTCGTCACCAAGGTGTCTTGTGGATGTAGCTTGTTTATTGAAGATGCAGGACAACCACCTAGCAGTGCATTACAATAGTCCAGTCTAGAGGTCATGAATGCATGAACTAGCTTTTCTGCATCAGAAACAGGTATCATGTTTCGTAACTTGGCAATGTTTCTAAGATGGAAGAATGCTGTTTTTGTAACATGGGAAATATGATTTTCAAAAGACAAGTTTCTATCTAATATAACACCCAGATTTTTGACTGTAGAGGAAGTAACCGTGCATCCGTCTAGTTGCGAATTGTAATCCACGAGATTCTGTGTACTGTCTCTGTCTTATCCGAATTTAATAACTGTCTTCTCCGAATTTAATAGGAGAAAATTATTGGTCATCCAATCTTTTACATTTTTAACACACTCTGTTAGCTTAGATAATTTAGAAGTTTCATCTGGTCTTGTTGAGATTTTATTTGACCCTCTAACTCTAGCACTCTCTATTCTAGTTCTATTCTTTATATATATATATATATATAAAACTTGCCCCTTTTAGACTTGCACTCCATTCATTTACTAACTGCTTGTTTACATAAAAAAATTAACACTAGCTTCTCTATTCTATCTATTCCTTTTCTTTTTATTTACTATACAATTAACAAAAGCAAAAAGGCCTCTAACACTAGCTTGCTCTATTATTTTTCTATTCTATCTGTTTTCTTTTTATTTATTATATTATTAAAAAAACAAAAAAAATTGCTACGTGGACTGCATTAAGCTAACTGAGACTTGTTATAGCACTTGTGTATCATTGCTCTTTTGTTGATTTTGATTGCTTCCATTGTCTTCATTTGTAAGTCGCTTTGGATAAAAGCATCTACTAAATGACTAAATGTAGATGCAAATGTTACCGTTTAGGTTTAATTTGGTTTATTTCAGTTGTAGTTTTAGTTCAGCTGTAGTTTAGCTGTAGTTTATGTATTTCCAGTCAGTAACTTAAACACTTGTCAGTTAGCTGCCAAAGCAACATTTCTCATTTTTCATCTAATATTTATATATTATTATTATTTAATTATATTCTTTCAATTTAAACAAAACATTTTTTTATAAATTTTGGTTTCAGTTAACAATAATAATCCTGGAGCAGAACTGCAATCAAATATAAGAGAGTTTTCATTTGTGTCACGTGTTCATCACCACATCATTCCCAGACTTACATTAGTCTTATTTCACCAATTCATATTTATAACATGGATGCAAACTCCTCACCTTTCAGTGACAACTCACTTTTTTTTAGATCAAAATAGGTCACCTATGAGATTTGCTTAGATCCAATGAGAAAGTGGTGTTATGAGGGGGCCTTACAAGGGTAAATAAAGAACTGTTGTTTCAATAAGTTTTGCATAGTATTTTCTTTACTCTTTACTTCAAAAACTATGTCTAAAAAAGGGTCATATTTGATGTATTGAGGTCTGAGATGTGGGAACGGGGAAGAGAGTGCAAACATTTAGCATTTTAGGTCAGCATTGCCATCTAATCAGCCAATATTGTCTTTAATAGACTGCATAGCGTTTCATCCCTCATCATGGGTCAGTAGCGCACCAGTCAGTGAGAGAGGATTTAAACCACAAGTGTGCTGATGTTCAACCAGCTTGTATTGTCAATTTTTCAAAACTACAGATTGAACTTCCACTTTTTTGTGTCCCAGCCGGATCAAGCCCAGTGCATTATGGGTGTTGAAGTTTCTCTATTTTTGTGGTGAAAGGAATCATCACTGCCCTTTCTCTCTGTTTTGTCTTGTCCTGTAGCTCATTTCTACTGTATAGACATCTAAGTTGTATTAAAGTCCATCTTGCCAGCAGTTGATTATCTATTTAAGTGAGCATATAAATGTTGTAGTTTATTCACGTTTATTCACAGAAAAAGTCCTGAACTCCAAAACAATCCGTTCAAACAGCAGCGGACTGTCTATTGCAAGTGGTAAGATCACATTTTAGTTGTTGTTGTTGTTTTTCATTTATTCATGTGTAAGAACCAGTGTTATTTTAGTAGAATTGAAGGAATCATCACTGCCCTTTCTCTCTGTTTTGTCTTGTCCTGTAGCTCATTTCTATTGTATAGACAGCTAAGTTGTATTAAAGTCCATCTTGCCAGCAGTTGATTATCTATTTAAGTGAGCATATAAATGTTGTAGTTTATTCATGTTTATTCACAGAAAAAGTCCTGAACTCCAAAACAATCCGTTCAAACAGCAGCGGACTGTCTATTGCAAGTGGTAAGATCACATTTTAGTTGTTGTTGTTGTTTTTCATTTATTCATGTGTAAGAACCAGTGTTATTTTAGTAGAATTGGGATTATATTGTAGTTTTTATTGTTTTAAGTTTTTTATTTTTATATTTACTCCTGTCTTTTTTTTTTTTACGTTTTAGTAATATTGTTGCATCCTTTTGTCAGTTTTATTTTTTTTTTTTATTGAATTTTATTAATTTGTGTCTATATAGCCTAGTTTTAATCAATTTTAATTCAGTTTTGTATTTAGTACATCACGATCAACAAAATGAAAATGAGAAATGTTGCTTGCATTGGACACTAGCTGAAATAAGTTTGTGTGTGAGGAGCGAGCGAGCGTGCGTGCGAGCGAGCGTGTGTCTGTAGTGTGCGTGTGTGAGAGTGTTTGTGAGTGAGTGAGTGAGTGAGTGTGTGTGTGCGTGCGTGCGTGTGTGAGAGTGTGTGTGAGAGAGTGTGTGCGTGTGTGAGAGGAGCGAGCAAGTGTGTGTGTGAGTGAGGAGCGAGCGAGTGTGTGTGTGTGAGTGAGGAGCGAGCGAGTGTGTGTGTGAGCAAGCGTGTGTGTGTCTGTAGTGTGAGAGTGAGTGTGCATGTGTGTGTATGTGAGTGAGTGTGTGAGTGAGTGAGTGTGTGTGTGTGTGTGTGCGAGAGAGCGTGGGAGAGGGTGAGGGTGTGTGTGTGAGTGAGTGTGTGAGTGAGTGAGTGTGTGTGTGTGTGTGTGCGAGTGAGTGAGTGAGTGAGTGTGTGTGAGTGAGTGTGAGAGAGTGTGTGTGAGAGCAAGCGTGTGTGTGTCTGTAGTGTGAGAGTGAGAGTCCATGTGAGTGAGTGTGTGAGTGAGTGTGCAAGTGTGTGTGTGTGTGAGAGTGAGTGAGTGAGTGTGCAAGTGTGTGTGTGTGAGAGTGAGTGAGTGTGCAAGTGTGTGAGTGAGTGAGTGAGTGAGTGAGTGTGTGAGAGTGTGAGTGCGTGCGTGAGAGTGTGAGTGTGTGTGAGTGAGTGAGTGTGTGTGCGTGCGAGTGTGTGTATGTGTGAGAGTCAGAGAGTGTGTGTGAGAGTGCGTGAGAGTGTGAGTGCGTGCGTGCGTGAGAGTGTACGTGGGTGAGGGAGTGAGTGAGTGAGTGAGTGAGTGTGTGTGTGTGTGCGAGTGAGTGAGTGAGTGTGTGGGTGTGCGAGTGAGTGTGTGAGAGTGAGTGAGTGTGCAAGTGTGTGTGTGAGAGTGAGTGAGTGAGTAAGTGTGAGAGTGTGTGAGTGAGTGAGGAGTGAGTGTGTGAGTGAGTGAGTGTGTG